GGTACCAATTTTCGGTACTTTGTGTGCGTTGATTTTTTTAAATAATAAACTTTTATTTTTTTAACATATTTTTCAATATATAAAATTAACGAATATCAAGACAACATCCAACTCTTTGTATTGTAACATCAGTTGTTTAACAAATTTCTTTAAGGTGTGTTATGGAATAATTATGGATATCTGTTCTGCCTTGACACTGTCCAGTAATCACATTTCATGATAACTAGTTTCGGCTGTTTTAATCTATCGGCCCAGACTTCAAGACTCCAGCAATGCATGACCTCATTTTGATAAGGTGTTTCCGGGCTGACAGTCCTGACATTGGTTAGATGGTTCACAGTTGGCGAACTGTGATTGGTTGTAAGCATGTCACAGGATGTTATATTATCAGCTGCTCTGCGCTGATGAGCCAGCCACAACTTGACAGACTTCTCTGATTGACTTCTGCTCTGTTGTTGCTCAAATTAAATCATTTGACGGCCATACACGCAGACTTTCTGTGCATTTATTCCAACGTGTTTCTGCATTCTTGGTAAATCGTGCCACCACAACTTTGGCGTTGTCTGAAGGCGGCTCCAAGGACCGGAGTTTGCCCGCAGCGACCGACTTTTTTGGACGACCACTGGACAATGGGAAAAGAAGGCTTTTATTTTTTCAGCTTCTGAGAAAGCTGACCTGTCTTCCTCTGCTGATTGTGTCCGGGTTGTGATCTGTCCTTACTTCGGCCGCTGTGGGTGACCTTTGGGACTGGAGCTGAAAAGAACCTGTCTGTGACAGAAACACGGTGAGCTAATATTTTCAGTAGCACCTTATGCAAAAAGCTATGGCTATTTTTGGCCCACCACACACTGAAATTCTAATTGTTAGACGCTCGTCTGGTCGCTTCTGCAGTTGTTGATTTTAGCCGAGGTAGATTTCGGGAGCATTTTATTCCAAATCGAGTCAAAACAGGGAGTTTATCTTTCTGTTTTGAAGTAGCCAAGGGGACATTGTTTGTCTTGGTGAGTGTAGGCAGGGTGAAATAAAGTACGTGATGGTACTTTATTTACTTTGAGCAAGTGAACATCGTGTTCACAAGAAAATTAATCCACCAGATAATTCAGAGGCAGTCTGTTTGATGAGTTTAGGAGCTGTGAGGCTTTCAATCTACGTTCAGACCGAGCTCTGTTTACTGCTGACATCATTATGCTCTTGCGTGATGCTGCGTTCAGGACAAGCATGGAAAACTCACCACTCTTATGCCAATACAGTCGCAATGATGCGCTTAGGTACTGAAATATGGNTGTGGGTGACCTTTGGGACTAGAGCTGAAAAGAACCTGTCTGTGACAGAAACACGGTGAGCTAATATTTTCAGTAGCACCTTATGCAAAAAGCTATGGCTATTTTTGGCCCACCACACACTGAAATTCTAATTGTTAGACGCTCGTCTGGTCGCTTCTGCAGTTGTTGATTTTAGCCGAGGTAGATTTCGGGAGCATTTTATTCCAAATCGAGTCAAAACAGGGAGTTTATCTTTCTGTTTTGAAGTAGCCAAGGGGACATTGTTTGTCTTGGTGAGTGTAGGCAGGGTGAAATAAAGTACGTGATGGTACTTTATTTACTTTGAGCAAGTGAACATCGTGTTCACAAGAAAATTAATCCACCAGATAATTCAGAGGCAGTCTGTTTGATGAGTTTAGGAGCTGTGAGGCTTTCAATCTACGTTCAGACCGAGCTCTGTTTACTGCTGACATCATTATGCTCTTGCGTGATGCTGCGTTCAGGACAAGCATGGAAAACTCACCACTCTTATGCCAATACAGTCGCAATGATGCGCTTAGGTACTGAAATATGGTACTGTTTGATGTTACGTGAATAGGTTCTCGGTAGTACCGACAGTATTCGGTCTGTACTTAAAAAAGTATCGAATTCGGTACCTATATCTATTCAATACACATCAATATATCCATTAAATTATTAATGATTCAATTACATCAAGGCAAAATGAAAACATCAATCCATATCGTCATCATATGCCGATGTGGATCAATATGCTCATTTAACTTATTGGCATATGATATTGCAAGGTGTCGATCACCTACTTGTGAACTGAATCAAAATCGTATCATGACAGACTTWATGATRTTGAGAAAYATTGTACCGTCATACAAACAAATCTATATATCATATTGTAATCAAGCAGGTGGCTTATGACCATGCTATTGAAGGATTTTACTGGACTGATGAAGGATAATGTTGTGCAGGGGTAACTCTTGTGGGGTATCTGACCCCTTTAAAATCAAAGAGTTGTGCCCAAATCCTCGGCACAAACTTGGTTTTGGGTTAAACTCTTACAGAAAGCTGTCCCTTGTGTTTGATTCAGTTTGTGGTGAACGGGTTCTTAAGATGCAGTTGTGAAAAGAACTGGTCTCATCTCTGTTATTGCAGATTATATTTTTCTGTTGGCATTTTCAAGACAAAACCTTCAGCATGCACTGGCGTGGCTCATAGCCGTTCTACTGAGGAGCAGCTGGATGCAGCTGTTAGAAAATGCAGCCATCTTTACAACTGTTCAAGCAAAACTTACAAAAGTAGTCAAATAAATCTTATAAAGATAGTCAAGGAACTTGTGGCAGGAGACACAGGTGGCTCCCTTTTWTCTGTACTTGCAGTAAGGAGTACGTCTCAGCTGGGCAGCATGAGGACACGCATCATCTGTCAGAAACAACGGCAGACTTTGTGACAACTTGCAAATCAGAGCTCCGTCTCAGTTAACAATAAAAACACCAAATCTTCTTCCTCTAACATCAACTAAAATTAAAGATCCAGTCTGTAACTGCGCTGTTGCTGTGTTTGTTTGTGGCTGACGTGTGTTGCAGTGCAAGGACAGCAGGAAGGAGTTCTCACTACAGTATTTTTAGTGTTTAGAATCTAAAATGTCTATGCAAAAAAAGAACATGACATGTTAGCAAAAACAGATGTATTATGCATATACAGCAGCTTTAAAGGCACAGTGTGTAGGATTTTGTCAATTATTTTAGCTGAAATTGAGATAATCACTAATGACAATAATAAAACATGTCTAATTGCAGACAAAGACCTTGTTTTATTATTTTTATCTTATAAAAAGCTGTTTATACTGTATCTCCATGGTCGCGGGTCGCCACACAGGCAGCCGCCATCTTGCACCGCCATCTTGTCTACGAAGGCTAATGAAGGACAAACTGCGGTGGCGGCGTCAAAAACAGTTTTAGTTGTAATACTAAGAATGTAATATTTGTTGTCTGTCATTGTAGCTGGGATAATTTTACTTA